TACATCATTGAGGTACATTCATTTAATAGAATTTCGTACTATGCTGTGGATGAATGTGAAGTCACGTAGCACCAAGACATTTGTAGAGCAGTATTTTCAACAACGTAGCAAATGAAAACACTCATTTTTCCGCTGATCTCTGTTGAAACTAAGAGGCCTGGTGAGGACTGGTGGCCAGAAACTGCCGCTGCCTGTGCGCGGCTTTGCTGAGTTGGCTTCCTGGAGCCCTGAGCCCTGAGAGCTGTTCATGCTGCACGTTCTCGTCATGGCTCTTGTCCCGTTGGATTGGACTTAACACATTAGGGAAGAATTTTCTAGAGGAGGAAGAAATCTGAAGACCTAATATAACATTTTGCATGCAGAAAACTCAATGTTTGTTTTGAAAAGGTCTGCAGGCATCACATGAGAACGACTCGCCAGGTTTTCATCTAAGTCTTTACAAATCCCAGGTGCATTTCCATGAATCTTCCGTCTCCTGTTTCCTTGGCCTGCCTTGCGTGCTTGGCTCGAAAGCCCTTAATCAGTGCTTAGAGAGGCCTCTCTAAATAAAATGCTTATCAAATTCAGGCACTTGTGCAAATTAAAATTTTAAAATAATCATTAATATTAAATTATAACACTATTATCAGCATTTTTGAGATACAGGCACTTAAACAAAAAAACATGAAAAATCCTCTGGCCAACATGGGTTAGCTACTAAGCTGAGTCCATCTGGACTTTTTAAATAATATTTATTGTATTTTTACGTGCCTTGATCCTTTGTGGTAAACCCAAGAGAACTGGGATAAGAAAAGAGATGAACAGTGTGTTTCTGTACAATTAAAAATACCATGCAGGTCACGCCCTTGAGTTATTAGGGGCTTTGAGGTACCGTGGATTTTTATGACTGATGCAACATATTGATTTAATGTGTATAGTCTGCAAGTTTTTACACATTAACAGGTAGTAGTGTAGACAGATTGAGAACTTTTGATAGGTCAGTGCACTTGCAGTCTGTCGTCCAAACAAGGACACATTTGAGAGTGAAAAAGAGGCAGACTTACAACTGCCCCCACACAGGGGCCGGAGGGCTCCCCTGCCTCAGCCGGGCTGCGCGGGAAGCCCACGAAGGGGCCGTGTCTTCTCCCCTAAGTTCCAGGCAGAGCCACAAGCGGGGAGAGGCCACGTGGCTTCTCCGTCATTCTGAGTCTTGCCAGGAAGCCTGCGGCTGAGCCCTCGGTAACTGCGTCTTGTGACAACCCGTTTGAAGGAAAAAGTAATTCACTTAAAACTGACTCAGAAGTCAGACTAACAAAAATGTGAACGATTTGTAGAAAAGAGACAGAAACCAGGGCTACGTGGAGAACTCTGCGCTCCAGAGCCCACCGTCCTCAGACCCACTGGACACAGTGGAGGGCGGGTTCCTGGCGGCTGCCCTTCCTCTGTCAAGGACCCCAGGTCCTCAGTTACAAACAGGCACTAAGGTGTGTTCCCCTTTAATTAGACCCTCTGGTGAATCTTATGAATAAGTTTCCACCATTAAGTAGTCAGCTCATTGCTTCAATTTTTTTAAATTGTAAAGTGACCTCAAAGTTGATTTAAAGCAAAAAGTAAATGTACTGGATCAAGAAGTTTCATGCTGGCTTTGCTCCAGAGTGGAAATGGCGTCGTCCTGGGCGGGCTTCCTGCCCGTCCCTCTGCTCTGCTTTCTGTCCCGTCTCCATCGTCAGACGGGCGAGACGTGCCGTGGCCAACGGTCAGAACGACTGCCTCCTGCGTCTGTTCAAGTTCGAGCGCGTGGAGCGGCGTCCCAGCAAACACGCTGCACTCGTCTGTGTTGGCATTAACTGGCCTGACCTGGTCACGTGCTGGGCTGTGAGCCAAGCGCAGCTCAGGTCTGGGTCACGTCTGGACCCACAGAGCCTGGGGTGGGTGAGCCCCACTTGAACCGCTGGCACGTGAGAGGGAAGTGCTCGCTCCAGACAAACACGGGGAGACTCGATGGAAGTTAAAGCCGGGAAACCCAGCACCATTACGTGTCCTCTACACGCAAGGACTTCTGGGGGCTGAACTTGAGTTACTGTAAGTGCCAAGCGGGTGAAGTGGCTTCTACCATGTGGCAAGTCCTGCTCTGGGAGCGTCCATGTGTTCACCAAAGCCTGTGAATCCGGCGCTCTTCCCATCCCCACTTCGTAGACGAGGACACGGGGCTGCCGAGAGCCATCGCCTGCCCAGGACAGATGGCCTGTCCGTGATGCCCTCTCTCTCCCTGTCTCGCGGTAAGCTCCTGAACACCTGCCTTGTGCTCCTCCTCCACGGTCCTGTGACACTGCCTCGTTCCCACCGAGCACACAGAGAATGCTTGCTGATTCAGCAATTCTGACTCACGGTGGGTGACCATCCTCACTGACCCTGCATCTCTGAACCTGTGGCCTCACTGTCCTGTGTCACCTCGTAGATGTGGCGGGCGTCCTGTTCTCTGGCTCTGGTACCTGTAACGTCCCCTGGGGTTTGGTTGAGGTGTGCCACCTGCTACTGCACCCTGTTATTTTGTCCATCTGGAACAGGCGCTTCCCATTTCCCTTCTAGAAGTGAAAATGATAACCCTTAGTAGAAAAAAATGAATAAAATCAGTCGTGTCAAGAAGAACAGGGTGGAAGGGCAGGTGAATTCCAGCAGACGCGGATTCCCTGCTGCCTGTGTCGCCGGCTGGAGTTGCCCCGCCGTCCTGCGCGCTCAGCCAGACTAATGGCAATGCTTCATCACAACCCAGACAGAGCCTTTATCGTGCTTGCGACCAAATGTCCTTTCCCAAATTGCTCTAGCGTCTCATCCCGGTGCTCATCACTCCAGGCACATGTGTCCTCTGTTATTTCCAAAGGAAAATGCGTTTAGTCAATGCATCTTATCGTTTGCTTTGCCACAGCACAACTGCAGTTGGAAGGAGAAGCGTGAGTTGGTTAAAAGGAAGGTGGATTGTGTGAGTTTACTTTGGTTCTGTCTTAGAGACTGTGTGTGTATGTTTGACTCTGTTGTCTAAGTGAAGGGCCACACTTCTCTATCTGCAGCTACGAAATTCACAGAGCTCTGACAAATGAAGTCTGTATAAATCTTTTCAGTCAAGTCTGCTCTAGCCCAGTATGCGGCTGGCTACAGCCTGTGCCCCATGGGCAGCGTGTCTGATCATGAGACACGATCCCAACCCTACTGGGAGGTTGCGTGATAATAATCCTTAATTCTGAATCACAGCTATGCCCGCGTGACTTGCTGGAGGGGCTGTGGACTTGCCCTACATACACATGGCTTGGAAAACCTAAGCATCATAGAATGCTATTGCACAGAAAATAAAATAGTCTGGCCTTCAGCTCCAATCTACTTCTTAGAAGCAACTGTCTTTAACACCCCTTTTCAGGGCTTCTGCTGAGCCGCTGTTGTAAATGTAAGTGGCGTGTCTGCATATTTTATTTCCTGATTCCAGGTCTTACGACAGGACTTGCTGCTGTAAAAGCTGGGGGAGGAAGTGCACTTGTCACCATCCACCCCCGTCTTTACATATTTACCTGCATTTCTGATTCTGTCAAAAGACTCAGCAACTCTCAACACCCACGAAATAAAATAATCAGTGCCCTGCATATGCCGTCTTTCCCCACGCTCCCTCGCCCACCCTTGTGTAACTCCCAGTGCGCATACCCTCTGAGAAAATTATCGATATCTTAACATTTCAAATTTTTAGTAGTTTTCCACCTGCTTATAAGTGGCTTCTAAAACTGAAACTCAGTGATGGCATGAACTCTGCTATGAATATGTAGTGATGTTTAACTGTGAAGCATGTAATGTCATGGCAGCCTTGGGACACGGGACTCAACAAACGAGAGTCATTCCAGAATGTTTTAAGCACAAGGCCAAGGGAGTCTCTATTTCTCTCTCCTAACCTCCTGAGCCTTCCATCACAGACACAGAAAACAAACTGATGGGTACCACGGGGAGGGACAAATTAGGAGTTTGGAGTTAGCAGATACACACCACTATATACAAAACGGATAAACAACAAGGTCCTAGGGTATAGCATGGGAACTGTATTAAATATCATAATAATCTAGAACGAAAAAGAATATGAAAAAGAATACATGTGCATAACTGAATCACTGCGCTGTCCACCAGTGACCGACACAGCCCTGTAAGTCAACGGTACTTCAACAGGAAAAAGAGAAGCGTCTCTGCCTCCATTACGGACCATGTGCCATTTTAGCTCCCACACATTTGCAATGTTTGAAGATTCTATCTGGTAACCGGAAGTCTGGGCATTTTACTGCAATTGCACTTTTATTTCACAGGTATCCTGGATTCTCATCCTCCAATACCAGACTCCTTTCACAGAATCCGCGGAAGACAGTTTGGACACGCCATTGCTTTAACCTCAGTGATTTATGTTGATGAAATCACCTGCGGGGGCCGCAAAGCGCTTCTGCGATGTCTGCGCAGTTGTAGTCCCAGTGTTCCTTCCTTCCTTCCCCCAAATTGATATATAGGTGGATGCTGGGGACGACTGAGCCCGTGATGCTGTGGGACTCCGTTCTTTCAGCCTGTTTGTTCTTTGTTCTGTTTGCTGTTCTCGGGTGGGTCTGGAAGCCGTTTCTTTCCTTCACTTCCTCATTTTTTCCCAGTGTAATTACATAGTTATGTATCGAACATTTACCCGGTGAGTGAGAACCTGCCTTCTGTGCTTCACGCGGACGAGGCGCTTCCCCCTCACACCAGCCCGTGGCTCCCTCACAGGGAGGAGACCAAAGCACAGAAGTCCGATGTCGGACTGCTCTTAATCACTGGGCTTCTTGCAGTGTGATAAACGAGGCCCGAAACAGCCCAGAGGCCAGGGTTTACACGCAGCATAGTTCAGATGAAACGCTGCTCTGATTTCTTCATAGAAGAGAAGACACTAAGTCAGTGCTGTCATGTTGTCTCCGACCTGTCTGTTTCTCCTGAAAATCTATTTGCAGTTTTCATTCAGAAGTTGTTTTTCGTCTTTGAGGCCAAAGGAGCTTAGAACAGCCCTGCATTCATGAGAACACAGGCTTCGGGAACGAGTGTTTGAGAGCACATGGTGAGTGGAGTGGCCACGTCAGAACGGGGACCTTTCAGAGGACACTGTTCCCAAAGTTAAGGAAGAAAAAAGGCAGCGTTGTGCACAGACGAGGGCGTAACGCCCGTGAACACCTGTGAACAGTCTCTTCTCAACTGTTCATTTGCTCTGAGCTCCGCTGACAGCAGTAAACATCACGGTGCGAGTTTGTGGTCGCCTGTCCTGACTCCCTCGGAGAGTGTCGCTGGTCACAGCGCTGAGTCACAGCGTGTCGGGGCGAGAGTCCCTCCGCACGCAGGAACCGCGTCTTTAAAGTCGTCCGGCTCAGATGTCTCACTCGGCGTCCTCTCCCGTTAAGGTAAATGGCGCGGAGTCCGCGAACTGGCGGGGACGCGCCCTGAAACGTGCACGAGCGCGGCCCCACGGAGCCCGGATTCCGGCCCAGGCCCCCGAGCGGCCTCTGGTCTCTGAGGAAGACTCTGGGATGAGGCTCTATTATTACTTTGCTCTTAAGCTTTTACTTATATTGTGTACGAAAACAGTCAACTTTGCTTTTTATTACAGTGTTTCAATAAAACCCCGCACTCATTCTCACCCCAGAGGCTGGGGGCCCCATCCCCGTGCCCCTGTCACTCACTCTCCTTTCCCGGGGTCTGGGCCGTCCGTCTTGGACTTGGCCTTCCCCCCGTCCCAGGAGTTTTGTTTTCCTTGACAGTCTCCTTCAGGACTGCGCAGAGCGCTGAGAGGGGCCCAGGAAGGGTTCCTGTGTTGCCAGAGACGCACGAACTGCACCTGGACGTGGCGTCAGGACCCCGAGTCGGTGGGGAGCCCTGCGCCCTCTGCGGACACGGTGTGGTTTGTCCCCGGCTCTGGCTGTGGGCTCGCTTACTTTTGGTCTTAATTGTCGCATTAAAAACGGGGCAAAATCCTCGCCAAAGACCCTCTGTTAGACGTCTGTGGTGGTCCAGAGGAGCTTCTCAAGCCAATGGAATGCCTCACAATTTGGGGTTTGCAGACGATTATGATTAAATGAGGGGCAAGGTGCCCTCCTTGTGACGCTCTCTTCTGTCTCTCACACACGCACCATCACACACACAGAAACACTCACTCGTGCAAGCGTTTGGACTTACACTTCCCTCGTCTTTTAAATGATCCTCCGTCTAAATGCTCTATGCATTCCTTGTCAAAAAATAAAAAAATAAAAATAAAGGGCATCTGACACGATTTTTTCCTGAACTGTATAGAAATGGCCAATCAATTCATGTAAAATTTGTTAGTTTCAACCGAGATTTTAATTTTGATTCTGTCTTCGTTGTGACTGCTTGGCTTCAATAAAAGCAATTTCACAGTGGTTTCTAAGCCACTGCGACACCTCGTCCCATCGCACAGGAGCTGAATGTCACACAGTGGCAGTCAAAGCGCACCCTGGAGAGCCTCTCAGAGCTCAGAAGTCAGGCAGCCGCGATTCACCAGCAGGGCCTGTCCTTCCTCCGGCTTCGCCCTGTGTTATGCGATCCGCCTCGCAGGGTGCTTTTTAGGATAAAATGACACCAAATGCAAGAGCACTGAGTAAAATCGCCTGCACGGAGCAGTTACGAGGGGTTTCAGTGAGGCCTAAATACGGTAAATTTCCTATTTCCTGTCCTTGACACACAGGAGGCACCTAAAGATACGGGCCCCCTCTGACGTCAGCTTCCTGACCAGCGCACACTCGGTCGCCGGTGTTACGGTGATGACAAGATGGTCTGTGGGACGCAGCCCGACAAAATAACTGAGGCCCCTTTTGTGAAACAGACGCTTAGTGTCTGGAGTGAAATGTGTCTGGGTCGCTCTGGGTCAACGGAAGAAAAGCCCAGTAAGGCTGGCGACTGGGGTGGCGGTCCTGGCCAGGGTCCGAATGCGGTGGGTCCTGCGGTTTGCCCAGAATTCAGGTGGGGCCCCCAGGGCGGGGCCTTGTCAGCCTCAGGGGCCCCTCAGATCAACGCTGACAGCCCCCCAGCGGGGCTCCCAGGGCCCCGCGCAGACTTCCTCCGTTTATGACGCCACTGCTTCCAAGCGCCTTCCCCTGGTCTCCCGCACTGGCGTAAGGACCCACCAGCCAGGCCTTTCTCCATGGAGAAGGGAACCCCTGTCAGAACCCAGCACGGGGCCTCCTGGGGCCTGCACGCAGCTCGGGTTTCTTCCAGCCCCTCCCTTTTCATCTCTCGTCTGCCGCCTGCACCGACTCTGGGCTGGAGTCCGCTCCTTCTCCTTTCACACCCGCTGAGGGGCAGCCCTGCCCTGGGAGGGCGGGCGCACACGGCCCGGCAGCGTCCGCACCGGCGGGGCGGACACCTTCTCACCATCCGAGGCACTGACACCTCATCCACCTGCAGAACGGGGGGTGTGTTCCCACTGACAGGATTCCTTCCAGAGCGGGGCTTCCCCGTGTGGGGAGCGAACGGAGGACGTCCGTCCCTGAGGGGAGAGGAGGGTCTCCTTGCTTTTCCCAGCTCTGTGCCGGGAGACACCCCCTTCTCAGACCTCAGTCCTCCCTCCCTCTGTTAGAGCAGAGACAGGGGGGCACAGGCCAAATACGGGAAATCCTACATCATGTGAACAACGGGGTCCCGGCAGAGAAAGAAAAGCAGGAACTTCTGGCTGATAAAAGGTCACACGTTTGGGGGTGACAAGTGCCCTGGAGACCAACAGAGAAAGATGGGGAAAAGGCAGGAGTCTCCAGTGACCAAGTGTAGCCTTTTGCTCATTATGCCCTCATTTCATTAAAATTAGCCCCGCAGATCAGAAGCCCCCATCGTGCACCCTTCCCATCCAGACTAAGTAAGGTCAGAACTCCCTCCTCCCTTCGGGAAGGTGGAGCTGGGATGGAAATCAGAGAACATGACCCCAGACCCTTCCCTCCACAGTAAACATTCTGCTCATTCATTTTTACACCCCGTGTAGCCAGCTTGTCAAAGAAACTCGGGGCAGCCGCACAGCTGAGCTGCCCGCTCCCCCCGAGAGCGTCCCATCCGCCCCTTGACACATCCCTGCTTCACTGTCTTAGCCTTCGTGTCTCCTCTCTGGATCCTTTCTGTGGCGAGACAAGCTCTGAATCACGGCCACACGCCCGTGGAACACCAGCGGCCAAAGCCGTAGACACGCTGTTCTCAGGAGCAGGAACACGTAGCATCTGAATTAAAAAAATGTGTGGTTGGTTTCCAGTGGTTCACACGCTGTCGTCATCCGATCCCACGTCCCACTGGCTAGAGCCAGTTTTAGGGTTCGTCCTATTGAGACGGGGGAGTCAAGGTGCAGAGGGGTAAACGAACTGTCAGGGGAGCCCTCGGTGGGCGAGTCCCGCGGCCAGGGGAGGTCCAGTCCTTCTGACCCCGAGGCTCCCTTTCCTGTGCCCCCGTGCGCCCCCGTGTGCCCCCAGAAGACGACGCCCGCTCGGCTCAAAACCAGCGTGGCCTCGCTGCCGGCTCTGCCTGGGTCTCAGGGGAGCCCAGCCCCTTCAGAATCACCTAGACTTGAAGTTCAAGATAACAGCTTCCCGGAAGTTTCCCAATGGCACATGTTCTTTCCCCTGTATCCCCCGGAGGTCATCCATGCGTCCGACTGTGAAGCCCCGGCTGTAAAACCAAGGTCCCATGGCCCCCGAGGGGAGCTTCGAGCGAGTGTGCCGAGCTGGGCTGGCCCCCCTGGTGACGGGCATCCGTGGCCCGCAAGTGACCTACGTGTTCGCACCATCTGTTACGTTGAAAGGAAGGAGGCTCATTGCGAAAAAGAGGGGCCACGGCCGTTGAATCATTAATTCTGTTTCGCCCGGTGGCAGGTGAGTGTTCGCTTCCCCCTCTGCCGTGGGAGGAGAGCAAACTGAGCTCCTGCTTCAGAAACGCTGACTAAGAGGAAGCCCCCCAGTGACTGCACTTCCCGTGAACCCAGCGGAGTGTCACTGTGATGTCCTACTGCAGAGAGCGGCTGAATGACGGGACCAGTTAGAGAAAGTCTGGTCAAACTGAAAAGGGCGGCGTTCCTCCTCCGCGGAGTTACCCGGGGCTTCAGTTGCCACGGGACACGGACATCGTTTTCACAGAGCATGGCTTCTGCTTGTTGACCAAGCTGAGTCCCTGCACCGGGAACCCGGCACCTCTTCTGAAATCTCTGGATGGTTAATGTTAGTTGCTGTAGACTTTTGGATGCCAGCCATTTTCCACCACGAAAGACAGAGCTGGGAATAATGATTGCATAAGAGGCAGCCTCTCAGCCCGAGACCCTTCGAGGTGGCGGGCAGTCCTCCATCATGATGACCAGGGCCTGTCAAGCGCCCCGGGGCGCCTTCTGCTGTCATTCCGGGTCCTGCGCAGACAGCGGCCGGTGGTCCCGGTCTGCCGCCGCCGCCAAGCACGCCGACAGCTGGGCCTGGACACGCAGGGCAGCACTCAGAACGGCGCTTACAGTGGACAGTGCCTTGTCTGGGTGCCATTTATCACGTGGGAGATGCTGCTCAGTCTATCAGTAGCCTTGTGTTTGGCCCTGCTCTGTGCAAGACAGAATTCCTAATACTGTAGGGTAAAAAAAGGAATCTGTTAGGATCTCTGGTCTCAGGAAGCTTACAGCTGACCCCCTTGGAACCCATTTCTGGAGAGGAGGACACTGTGGAAGGCCTGGCTGGCGGAGGCAGAGGTGCGCTCTTGGCCCTGCATTTCTGGCCCCGGGGGTGCAGGTGGCAGAAAGTGTCACCGTGACGTGTGCGAGCGAGACATGTGGGTGGCAGAGGCTGGGGAGGATTTCCATCCTCATCATCAGTTTGGAAATACCTCGTGAGAACTTGAAAAAGAAAAGAAACCCCGGCAGGATGTTCTGTGGATTTTAGGAGTGTTTCCTGCTGATGGACGTCAGCCTGGCCGTGGCTGTGAATTGCCCTGGGGTGTGCTCAGGGGCAGAGTCCGACTCAGCAGTTCTGTGTGGGGTCCAGGGTGACCCTGGATCTCTAACAGCTCCTTGGAGCAGCCCTGGAGCAGCCCTGACCTGGAGCCATGAGGCTGAGCCCCCGACTGAGTGGAATTTTCTCGGGGCCGGATCCCCGGTGTGAGAATCCCCAGGAAGCAAATAGGCAGAGTGGGTCTTCGGGAAACCCCGACACCCAGCACAGGCTCAGATGATGAGATAAGGAAAGGGGGTCACGCTGACCGACATCACCCCAAATAATGCCTCCTTGCTTTGGAAAGAGAGGGTCCCTCTGGTCTGTCTGCCCTCCCTGTCACCCTCCAGGGCTCAGGGTTAACCCCCGGCTTGGGAGGGAGCAGAAATTACACAACCACAGTTGGGACGCAGGACGGCCGAGCAGGCCAACCATCCCAGCTCTTCGTCGAATCGTAGACGATCAGACCACCACGCTGTCCACAGGCAGCAGTCTCCCTCCTCCCTCAGGTGCCCCCGCCCTGCAGTGCTGTCTCCCCACTGTCGCCAGAGCCTTGCACACCCATCCCACAAGCCTCCTCACTGCTTCCGTGCCCTCGCTGGCTCCTCTCTGTCTAGAGGTCAAGGTCTCCTCCCTAACAGCGTCCTGTCACCCTCACTTCTCCATCCCAGCCCGCCACACCGCCGGCTTCTCCTGCCCGCTGCTCGGCGCACACTGAGAGCCTGGACGCACATCTCCGGGCCCTGACCCAGAGCTGCTGCTGCCATAGGCCTGTGTTCCTGGTGAACCCTCTCTCTGAGCTCGCCTTCCCTCCTGACCTCTCAACCCCCCACGTTTCTTCTCTGAGGGAAACCCGCACAAGAGTCAGGAGCCGACTCAGGTGTCGCCCTCTCCTAAAGCCTCCCCAGCCGTCCAGGCCGACCCAGTTACACCGTTTGCCCTGGATGACGCTTGGCTCCGATCTTAATTTCTTCGCATATTCAGGAACTTTGTCTTAAACACATACAGAAGACTTTATAACAGCACCGTCCAGCTTTTGTTGTTTATTTCTTTCCCTTCTAGATGACGTGACCCCAGGGCAGAAAAAACGCAAATTCTGTGTCATGGTTTTTGTTCCTTATTTTAGCGGCAGTAGGGTACCGCGGTTAAGAGGTTGACATCTGAGAGGCTGAATTCGAAGCGGGGTTTTAATCACCGGGAAAATTAATGAGCCACGCGGAGCCTGCTTCTTGAGTTTCCCGATCTGCAAAATGAGGTTAATAGTAGGTCTTGTCTTCTGAGCTTCCACGATGCTCACGTGAGTCTGACTATAAATGCCTTGCTAAGAGCAATGCTAATAAGCGTTACTTAATGATGTTGGGATCCCCAGCATCCAGTGTGGAGGCTGACAGGTGCCCAGAAGGCGCTGCTCGAGGACAGTCACATGTGGCTGAGGAGCCGGTGAGATGCCCGGCCACGTGACCCGAGCTGTGACGCCAGGTCATCACAGACGGTGAATCAGGGTGCCCACCGCCTCTTCTGCAGCGTGGTCCGTGTGGGTCTTTTCATTTTCTGACTTAAAATGGAAGGAACCTAAAAGCAGGAACAAGTTCGTGATGAAAGGCCTGTTCCCGCGAGCCGGCTTGGCCGGAAAGGCAGCGCCCTGGGTCACTGGTTAGGGAATCCGGGACTGGGGAACGGTCAAGTCCGAGTAGCTACCGCGCAAAGTTAGGAGGGTTCCCAGACGCGTCCTGGCCTGTCTACAGTGACTGAGGCGGGTAGCCTGGAGCATTGACGCCAGAAAGTGTTTCAGGTCAGGATTTGGACTGAGGTTCTGACACCGTGCCGGGTCTATAAGCAAGAATTCATGTGCTAGAAATTCGGTGACCATCGAGAGCATCGCTTCTCTGACTGGTTGGTTTGGGGACCCCTTTTCACTCTCAGAAATCACTGAGGATCTCAAAGTCATTTTGTGCATCACACAACATTTTTGTGATTTACATCAAAAGTGACAGAGGCCCTCTAGATAAATATCATACACAAAGGAGAGACCAGATTAAATAAAATGAAATAAAATGCATCTTTGCTCCAAACTGAACAAAAATGTGCAAGTTTACCTCGGGTAAAAGGAGACCTTGAACCCATTCAACGATGATCTTGGCGAAAAAGAAGTGTTTTCCCTCAAAATAAAAAACTGGATTAAACCTATTTTTCTTTTTATTTCTTAAGTGTTGAGACTTATGAAAATTGAAAGAAGCATTTAGCTTATGCCTCAGGGAACAAGACACAAGGATGTGTGTGCTCTGACTGGAGTGACCGTCCCCCCACGGCAGTGGCAGGAAGGTGCCAGCTGGGGTGTTGTCTGCACTGGGAGGCAGCCATCTAGGGAAGGGCCCTCCTGCCTGATGACTCCGCCCACGTCCGCTCAGGCTCCCGTGGGAGCAGACTGTGGGTCAGAGCTTCCTCCCCTCTGGATTGACACAATTGCCTCTCCTCTGCAGAGGCAGTGGGACTCCCTCCACTGAACTGGCTGCACCATTAAAAAGAACATTTGGATTCATTTATCACCAAGGAAGTGAAGTCTGGTTGCTAGGCACGGCTGTGTTGCCATGGGACCCGCAGTGCGAGGCCGCCTTAGTTATTACCTTATATTTCCATCTCCAATTAACACTCCCAGCCGCGTCTGACATTCGCTGCCACAACAGATTTGCTTCCTACGAGGGTCTCCTACATTCATGTGTTTTATTCATTCTTTTCCTTCCTTCTCTCAACATGGGACTCCCTGTTGATTAAAAACAACAGTTTAACTGAGCAATTAAGCTATTTCCTTATACCAAAAAAAAAGCTTGCTTTTTCTATCACAACTGCTAAACAGTTAAGCCTCTAAATCTTACCATTTCCCGACAAATTCTTAGGCTGGAAGCTTCTTCCAGGAGGCGCTTCCCAATTTTGAAATGAGTGTGAAAATGTCTTCGGCCTCTCGTCCCTGCCAACGTGGTCCTAAATGTTAGAAATTTGTTTTCCAAACGAGTAAGTGCCTGGCAGTGCACGAGGACGCCCTCCAGCGACCGGCCAGACCTGCCCCCTTGCTGGAGAGCTCCGTCCCGAGCGGCCAGGGCGCCCCCTGAGGCCGCGGGGGCGCGGGGTGGGGAGATTTGACTTGCGGTTTTCTCAGAACCGGTTCTCTGTTCCTGCCCCGCCCCAGAGCCTCCTGCGGAGCCTCCAACTTTGTCCTCTTTTACAGCCTCAAGTGTATTAGAATCTTGTGCAGAATTAAAATTCCCTTTGCTTTACATCTGCTGTTACCAGTATCTCTACGGGGCGAGGGGTCTGACAACTCTATCCAGGGAACTAAGGAGAAAAGATTGTCTAGATCTGCCCCATCTCTCCTGTGGGAAGTTTGACTTGCGCACTTACCACACATTAAGAAGAAGAACGAAGCCTATTTATTGTTGTTCTGGGAAGAAGAAGGAAGCCGTGAGGCCAGTCTCTGCCCTCCCACCGCCCCTTCCCGGCCCTCCTGGGGCACCGGCCTCCGGGGGAAAGGTGAGGCGTAGGCGCTCCCATCGGGCGGATGGCCGGACCCTGCTGTCATCATGGGCCGCGTGTGAAAGTGCAAGGCTCTGTCCAGGACGCCGTGTCACCCACCCCAATTTCCGTCCCACGACCAGGACTTGATCCTTCTGACCCTCCCAGAACTGTGGCTTCTCAGAGTCCAAACGTTTAAAACCTTCGTGTCATTTTTTCAGTCCCGGGACTCACTCAAGTCTTCAGGACTGTGGAGCATAATTGTTAGCAGTCCCCCTGCCGTGTCGTGCTTGAGAAAGCCAGGTTTGCTGTTCAGACTTGTCTCCATGGTCGCTGCTGCCTTGCTGGCTAATAGGAGATTCTTCTAACTTTTTCGTCATGTATGAAATGTGCAAAGTGACTCACACGTCTACACCTCTCCCCGCCTTTGCGCAAGGTAATCAGCACCAAATTCGTAAAGGACGTCAAACGGTAAACATTACTTTCATTTCACAAACCCAACACCTAAGACTCCGATAAGAGTGAAAACCATTAGAAATACCCTTGTTATCACGTCACTGATGAAAACAATTGAATTCGAGACGTTAAGAGACTAAATAAATTCCTGCAGCTGCCGTGTTGGAAGCAACAGTCGAATTGAGACACAGCGCCGAGTGCGTGGTTCTCGCTATGACACTATGTATCGTAAAGAGAAATCATTTATTATTTAGAAAAGCAAGTGAAAGTTTTCCATTTTTGCTTCAAGTGTTCTTTCTCCTGCAAAGGTCATTCGTCGACTCACAGGCTTCTGACTCATCTCTACAATTAACGGCTGATCGTGTGCCAGATGTTTATGGTGGTGCCTAGTGCAGAGTGAGGATGTATGTATTAAATAGTAGAATTTGCTCAAGCAGTTCACCCCTTGACCTTGCACACTGACCTGAAATGCCACCTCTACCGTGTACTCGACAGTCGCACGTGTTAACCTTGACCTCGCGTCCCAGCTTCCTCGGCTGTTGCGCTGGCCCCCACTTACGCCTACACCGTCACTGCCGCCGAGGCGGTAGGTGGCTTCAAACCCAGTTTAACGCCTGGCTAAGCGGACCCGTGGCCTCTCTCACCTCTCCCTAAACACGTTGCGATAATCGTCGCTCACATAATTTCAAAACGAGCTGCAGAAAGATGCGTTTGAAACCTCTCGGAAGGCTCTGCAGTGGAACTGGACGCTGTTTCGAAGCCAGTCTGAGAAGAGTCGCTGTCTTTTCAACACTGAGTGCTGCCCGCTTAGTAGCACTGCACGTGTCTCCGTTGTTCATCTCCTCTCATGCCCTTGGCCGTCGTTTCCTTCTATGGCTTCTCTGCACTTGCTCCTACTTTTATTCCTCGGTCGGACGAAAGGAAAATGAAGCTGAGAGCACTGGCCCCTTGACGACAGGAGTGCCTCGTGACAGCTGCTATCTCTGAGGCTTACTTATTCCACCTTTGTTCTGAGATTTTAAAATACCCTTCCTTATTCTTTCTATGCTTATGAATATAAATTATGCTCTTTTTCTCTAGCGTTTAGAAAGCACAAAATCATCAAAATTCCCTAATAACACTCAAAATCACACTTGAAATAAATCTATTTGAAACTGTATTTTTCTGTTCAATATGAAAAAGTAAGGAACATTTTGTTAACAGATTTATTCCAAATAAGATGGGAAAATACGGTCCTTTTATCTGATCTCATTTCAGTTTCTGGTTAGATGATATTGTTGGAGAATTTTAATAGTTTTAACAATATTTTATTGTTGTCAGACACACATAAAGTGCATCAAACATTTTATTTGTCTTGGGTTTTTTTCAGTTATATTTCATAGTAAAGCTTTTTGTTTTGTTCTGTTTTGTTTGAGGGGGG